ACTTATGAAGCTTAGTTTGGTTGGATAGGAGATTCTGGGTTGAAAGTTCTTTTCTTTAAGGATGTTGAATATTGGCCCCCACTCTCTTCTGGCTTGTAGGGTTTCTGTTGTTTGTTTTTTTGAGACGGAGTTTCCCTCTTGTTACCCAGGCTGGAGTGCAATGGCGCGATCTCGGCTCACTGCAGCCTCCGCCTCCTGGGTTCAGGCAGTTCTCCTGCCTCAGCCTCCTGAGTAGCTGGGATTACAGGCACGCGCCACCATGCCCAGCTAATGTTTCGTGTTTTTAGTAGAGACGGGGTTTCACCATGTTGACCAGGTGGTCTCGATCTCTTGACCTCGTGATCCACCCGCCTCAGCCTCCCAAAGTGCTGGGATTACAGGCATGAGCCACCGCGCCCGGCCTGGGTTCATTGTTTTTAATGTTTGTTGCTGTTTGCCAGTTTGCTTAGGGATTTTTCTGAATGAATTCTGTAAAGTCTGTATCCCTTGTTGTGTGTGGAAACTGAAGTTTCTGCTCAGGTAGCTTAGTGATTAGCTAATTATTGAACAGAGATTTCCTGAAATGCCTAGAGCTAATAAGTCACAGACTGTTTACCAAGGGACTCTGTATGCATGTTGGGTCATGCCTTCAGCATTCAGAAAGGCGACTGACAATTCTGCGTTGGCTTTCACTTCCTCCTTGCTGAGAGTCCACATTTTTTAGTTTTAAGACTTTTATTTGTTTCCTTTTTTTTTTTTTTTTTTTGACAGTCTCGCTCTTTTGCCCAGGCTGGAATGCAGTGGCATGATCTCAGCTCACTGCAACCTTCGCATCGCATCTTGGGTTCAAGTGATTCTCGTGCCTTGGCTTTCTGAGTAGCTGGGGTTACAGACATGCACCACCATGCCCAGCTAATTTTTATATTTTTAGTGAAGACAGGGTTTCACCATGTTGACCAGGCTGGTCTCAAATTCCTGGCTTCATGTGAACCATCCACCTTAGCCTCCTAAAGAGCTGGGATTGCAGGTATGAGCTGCCATGCTCAGCCAAGATTTTTAATTTACTTGATGTCTGTTTTTTTCATAATATTTGAGACTTAAGTCAACATTATTCCTTTTTTTTCAGTCAGTGTCTCTGTCACTCAGGCTGGTGTGCAATGGCATAAGCACAGCTCACTGCAGCCTTAATCTCCTTGAACTACAGGTGTGTGCCACCATACTGGGTGAGTTTTTTAATATTTAAAAAAATATTAAAGTAGTGACAGGGTCTTCCTATGTTGCCTAGGCTTGTCTGAAATTCCTGACCTCAAGAAATCCTCCTGCTTTAGCCTTCCAAAGCACTAGGATTACAGGGGCCAGACAGTATACCTGGCCTATTCCTTCATTTAGAGCAACCTGAAATATTTACTTTGAAGTTTTTGTCACACTGTCCCATTAAATTAATTTCTTTTGAGCTGGATTGTTGTTTTCCTTCTCCCTCCCACTCCTCTCCCTGCCACTGCACCTCCAGGTACACACACACCATCCCGTCCACCCCTCCCACTACAAACACCATCTCTGACTGGTTTTGCTACTGTTTTCATTCTAACCCTTCACATCTCTAGTTTAGAACTAGGCCTTACAGTATTATATGGCATTTTGGAGCTCCTATTCTTCAATGAAATTTATGAAACTAGGAATATTGCAGATCTTGGCATAGCCAGTGGATCTCTCGACTCAGTTTCTGGTCGTGAAACTGTTCCTTTTTTCTCACATTATTACTTCAAATGTGTAGCCCTACAGAGGTTTTTTTGCTCTCAAGTATTCTTTCATGAGCTCCAGGTTCAACCCTGGCTTCTAGCAGTGAAGTTGGCTTTGTCTCTCCCTCTCCTGCTCCCAATGAAACATTTTTAGTTTCAGTTGCCCTACAAAAGTCAAACTCCCACCTTTGTACTACCTTCTTCCAGATCTAGAGCTCAGTAATCCTGTGGCTTCTACCTCCCTCTCACCATCTTGTTTTCTTATTCTGCATGTCTTCCTCAGATGTTTATTTTGTGTTTAAGCCCAGCAAAGTCATTATGGTTCTCTCTTTTTATATATTATTTATCGTTCCTCCAGATTTCGCATAGAGAAAGTGCTCAGAGTATGAATTCACCAAACTATTTTGAATAGAAGTTTAATGTAAACTTTTGAAAAGTAAAATATTTATCAAAACTCTCATAAAGCTAAAATATTTTTAATTTTAAACTTGCACACCACAAAAATTATCCTAAACTTTTTGTCCTAAAATAACAAAAGAATCTTACATGGACACATTTGTGTGATGGTAAAAGAACTGAAAATAAATAAAGGAAAGAATTATATTATCTGAAAGCTTATTCATAGAGGTGTTGAATAGAGGCTTGGGAGTTGCTGTGTCACTCCTTGCTGGGCAAATCGCATCTTAAACTGGGGCACTTTTAGAATAAAATCTCATGCATTTCCTCTTCTAATTTCTCTTTTCAGACACCTGTTTTCCTCCATGATTGTAGAAAAGTTCACCCAGGATTATCTGTGGCTTTCAGTTGCAACTCGGCATCCCTGGAACCTGTTTACAAGAGTCCAGCGGCTGTCTTGCTGCATGACACTGCTCCTCTGCAACATGGTCATCAGCATTATGTTCTGGAAGATAAGTGGCACCACTGGCAAGAGAGATGAGCAAAGTATGGATGAGCCCTGATGTGGGTAGTAAGCAAAAGCAATCCTTTTTTTTTTTTTTGAGACAGGGTCTTGCTCTGTTACCCAGGCTGGTCTATAGCCCTGGCTTCAAGTGATCCTCCTGCTTCAGCCTCCTGAAATGCTGGAATTACAAGCATGAGTCACCATGCCCAGCCCACTATGCAATACTTTTACTACACTCTGCTCTCGTTACTTTCAGGATTAGAAACAGAATCATGTTGTGTGATATGGTTTGGCTCTGTGTCCCCACCCAAATCTCACATCCAACTGTAATCCCCCCAGTGTTGAGGGAGGGACTTGCTGGGAGGTGACTGGATCATGGGGGCAGTTTCTCCCATACTTTTCTCATGATAGCGAGTGAGTTCTCATGATATCTGATGGTTTAATTGCTTGAACCCAGGAGGCGGAGGTTGCAGTGAGCCACGATTGTACCACTGTGCTCCAGCCTCTGTCACAGGGGGGAAAAAAAATGTGGCAGTTCCCCTGTCACTCTTTCTCCTGCACCATGTAAGATGCCTTGCTTTGTACAGCATGTGAGGTGTAATGCCATGTAAGGTGTCTTGCTTCCTCTTCACCTTCCACCATCATAGTAAGTTTCCTGAGGCTCCCTCAGCCATGCAGAACTGTAAGTGAATTAAACCTCTTCTCTTTATAAATTACCTAGTCTCAGGTAATTCTTTATAGCAGTGTGAAAACAGACTAATACATTGTGCCTTGTTTTTCTTACACTGCCCTTTCATTAGAACATTCTAACAGATTTTCTTAGTGTTCTCATTCTTTAACAAATGAAGCACTATTAGGAATACAACATGATCTTTACTGCCATGATAATTTCATTCCTAGATAAACATAGTTAGCTTCCTCAATAAATAGTTAAACCTAGGAGAGGAATGACTTTGAGATTATTTTAATAGTTGAAGATAAAAGTTGATGTCATGGCTGCCGGGCGCGGTGGCTCAAGCCTGTAATCCCAGCACTGTGGGAGGCCGAGGCGGGTGGATCACGAGGTCAAGAGATCGAGACCATCCTGGTCAACATGGTGAAACCCCGTCTCTACTAAAAATACAAAAAATTAGCTGGGCATGGTGGCGCGTGCCTATAATCCCAGCGACTCAGGAGGCTGGGGAAGGAGAATTGCCTGAACCCAGGAGGCGGAGGTTGCGGTGAGCCGAGATCGCGCCATTGCACTCCAGCCTGGGTAACAAGAGCGAAACTCCGTCTCAAAAAAAAAAAAAAAAAAAAGTTGATGTCATGCTTTTCTTTCAGTGGGTACATTTGCTGTGGCCTGGTCTGAACTGCTCATCAGCATCCACACTGCTGTCATCCTCTTCCCAATCAATCTTGTCATTGGGCGGCTCTTCCCGTTGATTCAGCCACAGGAGACTGTGCCCCTGTTTCCTCCCATCCAGGTCTCCTGCCTCTTAGATGCTTCCGTTGAGCCTCTCTCTGTCACAATGGTAGTTGAGGTAAGTTTGGTATCAAATTTTATTTTATTTTTATTGCTTGTTTATTTGTTTTGAGATAGGGTCTGGCTCTGTTGCACGGGCTTGAGTGCAGTGGCGCAATCTCAGCTCACTGCAGCCTCAGACTCCCAGGCTCAAGAAATCCTTCCAGCTCAGCCTCCCAAGTAGTGGAGACTACAGGCATGTGTCACTACATCTGGGTAAATTTTGTATTTTTTTTTATAGAGACAGGGTTTCACCATGTTGTCCAGGCTGATCTCAAACACTTGGGCTCAAGCCATCCTCCCACTTAGGCCTCCTAAAGTGCCAGGATTACAAGCGTGAGCCACCTTGCCCAGCTAGTATCAAATTTTACAGATGAATTACATGCTTTCCTTCCCCACACAGTGAAAGAGAGCAGTGGGAAGAATCTCATGGAAGGCTGTCAGGGTCCTCTTACCTGTAACATATTTTTCCCAGTTCTTGTCCCCTGAGCTGTGATTAACCACATCTTTAGCTTTTACTCTTGCTTGTGAAGTATTCTGAGGACTAAGTGGGAGTGCATAGGTACCACTCTGGCCTTGTTTTAGTCTTTGATGTTTGATCAAATTGTCTCTTTTTTCATTCCGTATTCTTTCATAAAACTGGTATTGCAGCTACTGTGAGTTATGAGGTGACTGCTTTCTGAAAAATTAGAGAGAACATGAAAAATTGAGGTTCTTCATGCTTAGCAGATCCCCTTTTGACTAAAGGAAACAGCCTTACCACCTGTAATTGCTACAAATCCCGGCTTAATGAAAAACAGGCTGATTTTTCTCATCTTGGTTCTATATTCAGGAATTAAGGGAAACTGTGCGATTCCTGCTCAGGAGACATACATACCTACTCTCAGAGTGTAAACAACCGTCATGGAGTTCTTGCAACATTACTAAGCTGGTGGAACTTTTATCCAGCCTCCTGTCTTCTCACTTGGAGGGTCAAGGCTGTCATCAGCAGGCAGAGCGCCACCGGGCACGTGGTAAACTTCAGTAGATTTGAGTAACGAATGTTCCATCTGCCTCCCACTCCCTTGCCTGTCTCTTTCTTTCTTACTCATTCATAACCAACAGGCCTGACACAACCTTCTGCTTGTTTTAATTGCCTTAAGCTTCTAATATAGAGCTGATAGATTTGTTCTCCTTGATGGCATAGACAATCTATCTGGTGATACAAAGTACAGGATTAAAAAACACACACACACAGGTCAGGCGTGGTGGCTCACGCCTGTAATCCAAGCACTTTGAGAGGCTGAGGTGGGTGGGTCACCTGAGGTCAGGAGTTCAAAACCAGCCTGGCCAACATGACAAAACCCTGTCTCTACTAAAAATACCAAAGTTAGCTGGGTGTGGTGGCACATGCCTGTAATCCCAGCTACTATGGAAGCTAAGACAGGAGAATCCTTGAACCTGGGAAGCAGAGATTGCAGTGAGCTAAGATTGCACCATTACACTCAGCCTGGGTGACAGAGCAAGACTCCATCTCAGAAAAAAAAAAAAAAAAAAGTACAGGAAAAATGTTGTCTGGGCCAGATGCAGTGGCTCATGCCTGTAGTCCCAGCACTTTGGGATGTCAAGGCGAGTGGATCATGAGGTCGGGAGATTGAGACCATCCTGGCCAACGTGGTGAGACCCCGTTTCTACTAAAAATACAAAAAGTAGCTGGGTATGATGGCACGCACCTGTAACCCCAGCTACTTGGGAGGCTGAGGCAGGAGAACCGCTTGAACCTGGGAGGCAGAGACTGCAGTGAGCCGAGATCATGCCACTGCACTCTAGCCTGGGCGACAGAATAAAACTCCATCTCAAAAGGGAAAAGAAAAGAAAAAATATTCTCTGTATTAGACCCACATATCCCATCTGCTTTGTTGAAGGCTGTTGAAACTTGTCATCCTTTTTCTTTCATGAGATGGTGAGATGATGCAATCTATAGATCCTCAAAAACAGTTTGAGTCTCCTGGGCATTAGTATAGGTTACATGTACAGCCATTCTGGTGAAGAAGTCAGTAAGGTTTTAAAAGTCTTCAGATCAAAGCTTAGAATTTTACAGTTGTTAAAATTCACCAGTATCCTCAGAGAAGATGGTAATACTGCAAGTGTTGGGTACAGTCCAATCTCTGCTAGTAGTGGGAAAATTTAGTCTCATCATCAATTAATGAATTGCTTATCTCTACCACTAATTGCTACTTACTGAAATCCGCTTGTGAAAGTATCAACTTGAAATATATTTTCAGTGGTTCCTGAAAACCACCATCATTTCTGCTGTTACCTGTGTAGAGTTCTACAGAGGCTAAAATCTCACTTAGGCACTCTGGGTCTCACCCAGGGCCACCAGACTTGTGACCTCCTAGCTGCAGCCAGCCATCTTCAAAAACTCCAGGAACTCTTGGAAACACACATGCTTCCCACGGAGCAAGAGCCATTCAGGTAATGCACCACACCAAGCCTTCTTTATCCCCTGTAATCTTCCTCATCCTCTCTCTCAGCTGATGGGTAAGAGATTATTCCTTCAACTTTTGTTCTTAAGGGAAGTCACCAGTTTCGCCATCCTGAGCTCAGAAGAAGGAAAAAGGCCCATCTCTAATGGCCTGTCCAAATGGTTGAGTTCATTCTGCTGGCTCCTCCTGGGTCTCACTAGCCTGGCTTCAGCCTTCTTTACAGCACTTTATAGCTTGGAATTGAACAAAGACCAAGCCACCAGCTGGATGATTTCAGTTATTTTATCAGTGCTTCAAAATGTCCTTATCAGCCAGCCAGTAAAGGTATGTGAGGAATGGGAAGAACCACTGGAGTTGCACAAGTTTGGGAGACTGAGGTCCCTTGGTGTCAATCCAAGGTGCCTAGTGGTTTTGACAATGTAACATAAACATCAAAAAACAAACAGGCAAACCAGGCTGGGCGCAGTGGCTCACACATGTACTCCCAGCACTTTGGGAGGCCAAGACAGGCAGATTGCTTGAGTCCAGGTATTCAAGACCAGCCTGGGCAACATGATGAAACTCCATCCCTACAAAAATTACAAAAACTTAGCCAGGCATGGTGGTGTGCTCCTGTAGTTCCAGCTACTTGGGAGGCTGAGGTGGGATGGGTTGGCCCAGGAGGCTGAGGCTTCAGTGAGCTGTGATTGCACCACTGTACTCCAGCCTGGGTGACAACGAGACCTTGTCTCCAAAAAAAAAAAAAAAGCAAACACTGACATTTGTTATGGATATGTGTAATTCATCACAGAAAAAAGAAGTATGGCAGAAAATGACTGGGAGCAAAGAGGACAGTAACCAGTAACAAATCAACAACCTAAACCACTTTGAAAAAAACAACCAACAAAAAACTTAAATTTTTTATATTTAAGGAAAATGTCAAACCCACACAAAAGTGTAGAGGTTAGTATACTGCATCCTGAAGTCCTGCCACCCAGCTTCAATAATAACCAACTCATGGCCAATCTTGTTTTGTCTGTTATGTTGGGAGGAAAATATCAGACTTCATATCATTTTTTCCATTTCACGTATTTTAGTCTTTATATTTCTAAAAGTTATGGACTCTTCCTTTTAAAACAATTATGAATACAAAGAAACAGCTTGTGGGAATTTTGGGGGTGATGAAACTACTAGGTATCTTTTTTTTTTTTTTTAAAGATAGAGTCTCATTCTGTCACCCAGGCTGGAGTGTAATGGCGTGATCTCAGTTCACTACAACCTCCGCCTCCCGGGTTCAAGCCATTCTCCTGCCTCAGCCTCCCAAGTAGCTGGAATTACAGGTACCCGCCACTATGCCCAGCTAATTTTTTGTATTTTTAGTAGAGACGGAGTTTCACCATGTTGATCAGGCTGGTCTCAAACACCTGACCTCAGGTGATCCATCTACCTCGGCCTCCCAAAGTGCTGGGATTACAGGCATGAGCCACTACGCCCAGCCAACTACTTGGTATCTCAAACTCCCCCTCTAGATACAAAGCCTGGCCCTGGCCCAAGCCCACCGGCCCAACCCTGGGAAGCCCAGTCAGGGCTGAGCAGACCACACCGCAGGCAGGCAGGTCCCAGAGAGAGAGGAATCACCAGCAGGTTCTTCCTTGTGGGATAAGGTGGAGTAAGGAGAGTATGGCCCCAGGCTGAGAATATCACCCCTCTTCATTCTCCTGAGGATTGGAATGGAACTTTCTTGCCCTCCATGGAAATTTAAGGAATGGGGGAATACTTGTTTCCTCTAATAGATTCTTAAGGTCTTACTTGATTCTAAGATTCCTCAACTTCTTTTGCTAGCCTGAGGTTTAATCCTGGGACTTCTAAAAGACTGACTCTTGGCCAGGTGCAGTGGCTCATGCCTTTAATCCCAGCACTTTGGGAGGCCAAGGCAGGCAGATCACTTGAGGTTGGGAGTTCAAGACCACCCTGGTCAACATGGTGAAACCCTGTCGCTATTAAAAATATAAAAATTAGTTGGGCATGGCATGCACCTACAGTCCCAGCTACTTGGGAGGCTGAGGCAAGAGAATCACTTGAACCCAGGAGGCAGAGGTTGCAGTGAACTGAGATTGTGCCACTGCATTCAAGCCTGGGTGACAGAGTGAGACTTTGTCTCAAAAAAAAAAAAAAAAAAAAAAAAGTCTGGATCTTCATCAGAGGTCTTCCAAAGACACTGAGGGATATTACTGAATAGACATCACAAATCATTTGACAGTGTAAACTTCTCCAACCAGATTAAGAACTATAAGCAAAAAAGAGGAATATTAACATTATTTAGAGTCTGCTGGCCCTTCTCCAGGTCCCCATCATTGTACAAAAATGACTGAAATTAGTTTTCCATTGAAATAAAGGGCCAAAGCCAGGCACAGTGGCTCATACCTGTAATCCCAGCACTTTGGGAGGCCAAGGTGGGAGGATCACAAGGTCAGGAGTTCAAGACCAGCCTGGCCAAAATGGTGAAACCCTGTCTCTACTAAAAATGCAAAAATTAGCCAGGCATGGTGGCGTGCACCTGTAATCCTGCTACTGGGGATGCTGAGGCAGAGAATTACTTGAACCCAGGAGGCGGAGGTTAGAGTGAGCCAAAATCATGCCACTGCCTTTCAGCCTGGGCAATAGAGCAAGACTGCATCTCAAAAATAAAAATAAATAAGTGGCCAAATAATTGAAGTTTTTCATTAATGCCCACCTCTTCCTTTACAGAAGGTATCATCTTCCTGGGTCTGTAATTTCTGCTCACGATGTTCTCCTGTGGTTCTCCTGCCCAGGTGGTCATCTTCACGTTCTTCCACTCACTGATGATGAGCAGGGTGCCACGGCTTCACAAGGAGAAGGAACAACAAACCAAGAGGATCTTGGCACTCTTGGGTAACTCAAGTAGTTCTAACAACTACCTAATTTTGCAAAAAGCAAATTAGATCAGATCAGTGTTACTCTGGCCACCTTGCTGACTCAGATAAATTAACCCATTCAAAGGACTTGTCTCTAACCAAGTGGTTATTTCTCTTCTTCTGCCCAAGACTAATGCGCTTCCAGACGAGGATCCTCACCTCGATCATCACGTTCTCCCTCCTAGTGCTTCATCTCTCCCCTGCAGTTTATTTTGTTTATTTTTATTTTTTTGAGATGAAGTTTCACTCTTGTCGCTCAGGCTGGAGTATAATGGGGCGATCTCGGCTCACTGCAAGCTCCACCTCCTGGGTTCAAGTGACTCTCCTGCCTCAGCTTCCCGAGTAGCTGGGATTTCAGGCCTCTGCCACCACACCCGGCTAATTTTTTTGTATTATTATTAGAGACAAGGTTTCCCCATGTTGGCCAGGCTGGTCTTGAACTCCTGACAGGTGATCCACCCTCCTCGACCTCCCAAAGTGCTGGGATTACCAGTGTGAGCCTGTGCACCCAGGCTCCCTGCATTTTAGATCTCCTTTTCATCTCTGTCTCTCTCCCTCCTTTCTCCTCTCTCTCTCCTCCCTTCCCTCCCTCCCCTCCCTCCCATCAGCCCAAGGTGCCATTTTCCATGGCTCCCTATCTGGAGCTTCATGCCTCCAAGTGTGTCAGACTGAATCGTTTGCCTGCCCACAAATCCACTTCTTTACTATATTTTCTCATTCTAATCAAGAGCATTAGCATTCTCTAGAAAAGTCAGAATACATAATCCTAAATTCCTCTCGTAATTTCCACATTTCGTGACCAAGCCTGAGAAAGCCCACCCTCTAAATAACTGGCTAGGGCTAACTTATCACCTGGGCGAACCTCAGAAACACAATCTTGGGTAAAAAGAGGAGCTTGCAGAAAAATTGGCACAATATTTTAATCACGTAAAAAAGATGCATATCTTGATTGGAGGATACATATGTATCTCTTCTATGCATTTATGGATAAAATATAAAGAAATGTATGGAAATGACAAACTCCAAAATTCAGGAAAGAACTACCTCTGAGGGAAAGAAGGGGAGAATGCCATGACAGAGGGGGGTACACAATAGACTTGATGTTGCCAGTCACTTTTTTTTTTTTTTTTGAGACGGACTCTCACTCTTGTTGCCCAGGCTGGAGTGCAGTGGTGCAATCTTGGCTCACTGCAACCTCTACCTCCAGGATTGCAGCGATTTTCCTGCCTCAGCCTCCCAAGTAGCTGGGATTACCGGCATATGCCACCATACCTGGCTAATTTTTGTATTTTTAGTAGAGATGGGTTTCACCATGTTGGCCAGGCTGGTCTTGACCTTCTGACCTCAGATGATCCAACTGTCTTGGCCTCCCAGAGTGCTGAGATTACAGGCATGAGCCATGTCACCTGGCCTCCTAACAGTCACTATTTAAGCGGTCATCCACTGCTAAGCAGTAGGCCCTCCATTCCTTGTGAGATGAAAAAACTTAATCTGACTTGAAACTGCCTTCTGTCCATGACCAACCTGGCCAACATGGTGAAACTCTGTGGCTACAAAAAACAGAAAATTAGCTGGGCATGGTGGTGCATGCCTATAATCCCAGCCTCTTGGGAGGCTGAGGCAGGAGAACCCCTTGAACCTGGGAGGCGAGGGTTGCTTTGAGCTGAGATCACACCATTGCACTCCAGTCTGGGCGACAAGAGTGAAACTCCATCTCAAAAAATAATAGTATACTTACTTCCTTGCACTTACTTTGTTTCTCCATGCATTCTGAACTGTTGGTCTCTCTGCCTAAAAGAGACTTTTTTTTTCCCCCCTTATCCTCACCCTTGTTCATGTAGAGAGCTCTGATTCATCCTTCAAAATAAATGTCAAATGTCGCTTCCTCTGTGGAGCCTTCTCTGACTTTCTTGGAGAGATTTATTTGCTGACTCTTCACTGATCCCACGGTACTAGGCACATACATGCTGGCAAGCTTCATGCCTTCTTCTATTTTTTTTAATTTTAATTTTTTTTTTTTTTTTGAGATGGAGTCTCACGCTGTCACCCAGGCTGGGGTGCAGTGGCATGATCTCGGCTCACTGCAACCTCCATCTCCCAGGTTTAAGCAATTCTCCTGCCTCAGCCTCCAGAGCAGCTGAGATTACAGGTGCACACCATGACGCTCAGCTAATTTTTCATATTTTTAGTAGGGACAGGGTTTCGCCATGTTGGCCAGGCTGGTCTCGAACTCCTGAGCTCAGGTGATCAGACGACCTTGGCCTCCCAAAGTGCTGGGATTACAGGCATGATCCACCGCACTTGGCCTCATGCCCTCCTGTAATTCACTGGCTTTCTCTCATTCTTAATCTGTCTCTAGATTCTTCTACTCATGGTGTTGTGTGCAGACCAGCAGCATTGTCATCTCCTGGAATTGTCAGAAATGCAGAATCATCTTAGCAGTTACCCATGGGGTGGAAAAATAAAAAGTAAAAAAATTAAAAATAAAAACATAGAAATGTAGACTCTTAGGCCCCACCCCAGAATCTTTATTTTAACAATATTCCCAGATGATTCCTATGCATATTAAAATGTGAGAAATGCCACTATAGAATAGTGCTATCAAAGTGTGGCTCACAGACTAGAACTGTTTGTTTCTAGTCTAAGATAAGTACAGGAATCAAGAATAAGCATTTGAAAACTTTAGCAATCTGGCAGCCTAACTTTATACCTATTAAATCTAATTTTCAAAAACAGGCTTTGCATTTTACCTGCTTCTGCTTTATTTTTTTCGTTATATATGTTTTAATTTTTTTTTTTTTAGGAGACAGGGTCTCAGGTGGATCACCTGAAGTCAGGGGTTCGAGGTCAGCTTGGGCAACATGGCAAAACCCCTCCCAAAGTGCTGGAATTACAGGCACGAGCCACTGTCCTCAGCCTGGTAACTAATTTTTATTGTATTGCAAAGAAGTATCAGTCTCCAATTGATTGGAATTTTTTAAAAAACAGGTCCTTTATAATAGAGAGTTTAAGAAGCACTGCATAGGTAGTTTGACTCCTTGTTTCTTCAGGATTTAAAAGGAGGTGCTCACATAGATGCTCAATGAATGGTGAGTGACTGCTTAATGAAATATAACATTTCTTTGGTCTACATTTGAATTTTTGACAGCAAAGTGTTCTTCATCAGTACCAGGTTCAAGAGATAAGAACAACCCTGTCTATGTAGCCCCAACTATGAATAGTCCAACTAAGCACCCAGAAAGAACCCTGAAAAAGAAGAAACTCTTCCAACTGACTGGAGATATTTTGGGTATGGAGAGGAAATGGCAACATACTTGGTAATAGAACACTTTTTTCAGAAGGGAAAGGAAGAGAGAGAATAAAATGGAAAATAAAGAAGGGTTCAAAAGCTATCTTTTAAGATCTTCAGCTTGTGAGATTTGGGATTCCAGTAAAGCAGGTGGGATGGTAACTGGACAGACCCCTGACCTTGGAGTATAGAGTTTTCATTGTGTGCTTTAGTCCATCACTTTTTCCACCTGCAAAATATAATAACACTTGATCTATGGAGGGAAAATGAAAATGCTTTGGCAAAAGGCTATTCTGGAGGTGCTAGTTGACTGGCTTCAACACATCTAGTTCATTATTGGATTCTCTAATCCAAAGAAGACATTCTCTTTTTATCATGGCTTCGCTTCTAGTGAACACAATCAGATGAGTGAGATGGGGTGCATGCTTAGT